CCGCCCCTCGGCCGAGCGCCGCCCGCCCCGTTAAGAGGCGCCGCCCGCCGCCCAGCACCGCCCCGCCATGCCGCTGCCTACCCTGCTCTGCCTCTGCGCGGCCGCCGCCGCTGCCTCCTTCACGAGCCGCGGCGACTACCGCTTGGCCGGTCTCGTCCAGATGCACGCCCCGGCGCCGCCGGTGGACGGCTGCGACGAGTGAGTCCCCCTCGCCCCGCGTCGCCCTGTTTTACCCCAAAAAATGCGTTTTTTCCTTCCTGAAAACCACTTTTGTGTTCATACAGTGCTGCCACCTTCAAGAGCCACAGCTACAGCCTGTCCCAGGCCATGCGCTTTGCCGTGGAGGAGATAAACCACTCCAGCGCCCTCCTCCCCAAGGTCACCTTGGGCTACGACATCCACGACACCTGCTTGGAGCCCGCCAGCCTCCACGCCATGCCACGCCATGCTGCGCCCTCGCCCGGAAGGGCAGGCAGGAGGTCGAGGTGCTCCCCACCTTCCACCACTACAAGCCTGAGGTGGTGGCAGCCATCGGGCCTGACAGCACCCAGCTGGCCCTCACCACAGCAGCCATCCTTGGCATCTTCCTCATACCGGAGATAAGCGCAGCTCCCCCGGCAGATGAAGAAAAGGGCTCCCGAGGAGTAATGGTTTGAGGGAGGACGGGCTTGGAGCTGAGGAGCCAGGGCGAGCTGGAAACACAGTCCCTCCATTGGCCCGGGTCTCCTCCCAGGTACTGTCAGCTGGCAGGCAGGAATTGCAGCTGGCTCACTGTCCTTCAAAGGTTTCTCTCACAGCAGTGCATTCGGCTCCGGGTCCGCTGCCTGCTCAGCCCTAAGCCTCTTCAGGAGATGGGCTGCCTGTGCTGCTAGCTCTTAGGGTGCCACTGCCTGGGGGAGCACAACCCCCTTTCTCCTGGCTCCCTTTGCAGATTAGCTACGAAGCCTCCTTGGAGATGCTGAGCCTGAAGCAGTTCTACCCCTCGTTCCTGCGCACCGTTCCCAGTGACAGGCACCAAGTGAAGGCTATCTTCCTGCTCCTGCAGCAGTTTGGGTGGACTTGGGTGGCTCTGCTGGGCAGTGACAATGCCTATGGCAGGGACAGCTTAGATGCCCTCTACAAGCTGCTGACTGCAAGCGATGTGTGCGTTCCCTACCGAGGCATCATCCCCATCAACAAGGACGCCAGCAGCCCGGAGCTCCACAACCTGGTCAGAATCCTCACAGACGTCAGGGTCAATGTCACCATCATCTTCTCCAACAGACGAAGTGCCTGCCCTTTCTTTGAAGTGGTGGTCCAGAGGAACGTCACGGGCATGGTGTGGGTGGGCTCCGAAGACCGGTTGTTAGCCCAAACAATCTGGCAGGTGCCTGGCATCCAGAGTATCGGCTCAGTGATTGGGATGTCGGTTGAGAAGACAGTCCACGATGCTGGAACGCTTTGAATCTTGGAAGATGGCAGAGGAAAGCACTGTGGCTGAATGTGCCGGCAGCACAGGGGCAGGCGGGGGAATCAGAGGGAGCACCCAGCTGGACTGCACCCAGCGCTGCCCCGGCTGCCACTCGCTCGCTGCTGCCCCCGACACATATGATGCTCAAGCCTCCTTCAACGTGTACTCAGCTGTGTATGCCGCAGCCCATGGCCTCCACGACCTGCTGGGTTGCGCCTTGGGGGTGTGCAGCAAAGGCACAGCCTATCCCTGGCAGGTAAGAGCAACACGAGGAAGGATCTTCCTTGTCGAAGAGGATCCATGAGGATCCTTCCTCACAGGGAGGGATTTTCCCCTTGTGCCCAGGGGGTTTCTGTCCCTCTGAAAGGCTTGTGTCCCAGCTGAAGAGCCTCACGGGCTTCAGCCACCCATAACAGTCAAAGCAGCCTGGATGTAGACCCAGACCCCTGCCCTAGATCATTTCTGTTCCTCTACCACCAGCCCCTTGCAGAAACCTGGAAGGGACTTTCTGCAGCTGGGCATATGCTAGCTGTTGGGGGGTCGGAAAAAGGAGCCAGAGCAGAGAAGGGGCCCTCTAGCACATCTCCCTGCCGAGACAAGGCACTCCTCAGAGGGAGTCTCGTCATTGGGAAGGGCTCTTCTCTTACTCTTCTGTTTTACAGCTCCTACAAAAAATCAAGCAGGTGAACTTCACCCTGTACGAGAGCTGAATCTCTTTTGATGCCAATGGGAACATTCGTAAAGGCTATGCCATCGTCATATGGAACTGGAACGGCCCGAGCTGGGCTTTCGATGTGATAGGAACTTTCAGTGTGAACCCCGACAGGCTGAGCGTTGACCAGGGCAAAAATCCTGTGGCACACAAAAGACGGCCAGGTACTGTTCTGCATCCAGATCTTATTTATTGCTTACTGCCGAGCCAGCTACATCCCCAGCACTGTCAGTTCTGGGTTATTTCCCCATAGCAGGACAAAAATGAGGGCAGACGGAGGTGGTATGGGGGGGGTGATCCACGTTCTGAGTATCCGCTTTCATCCTTCTAAAAAACAAGCAGGGCATGTGCACTGAAGAGTCTCCTACTTTTACCTTTTAACAGTCTCATTTTCCCACCACCTCTGTAAGAACCACAACGTGGCGAGCTCTCGTCTCCTGCCCAGGGTCTGTCCTGAAAGTCAGCAGCAAGCTGCCCAAACACTGCCAGGCCTGGGCCTGGCGCTCAGCGAGGTGTCCTGCTGCCCGCCCCGCTTGCCTGCCTGACCCTCACCATGCTCCCGACAGGCTCCCACCTCAGTGTGCTCCAAGGCCTGCCAACCAGGGGAGAAGCGACTGCAGTGGAGCCACCACCCTGCCTGCTTCAGCTGCGTGGCCTGTCCGTCAGGAACCTTCCTGAACAAATCAGGTCAGTATGCCCCAGGGGGGCTGCTCTCTCCCCTTCCTTCCCGCTTGGCTCCCCTGCTCGCACCCTGCCTCCTCCTCCCGTCAGCTCCTTGCTTCCGTCTCGCCATTCCCCAGCCTCTTCCCTCCCACTCTCTCTTCCTCCCTGTGGTCAGTAAAAACCTCTGAGCTGGCCTGAACATGGTTGGTCTGACTCCCGTTTGCTTACCCGTGGGTATGCAAAGCCCACGCCCTGCGCTTTCCAGGGAGCGCTGCCCACAGGTGGGCCCACGCAGTCAAATAGACAGCGGAGATGGTGCCAGCAGAGCCCCTTCTCCCACGGGCAGGGGACAAGGGACATCCAGCCCAACCGCCATTTCCTGCACTGCATCCTCCAAGAGGGAAATTCAACCCAGTGCTTGCCTTTGTGCCCCAGATGGCACTCGGGGCTTCTGCACCACGCGGTCACCAGCAGCTGGCATATGGAAATGTCCCTTGCCTGGCACAGGTGGCAGGAATCTCCTCTCTCAGTCATGAGCCACAATGACAAACCCCTTGCTGGCAGCTGGTCACTTGGCAGCCTCGGCCTGCACTTGGGCTGAGGGGGGCAGAAACGGACAGCTCTGGGTAACAGCGGGAGCAGGGAGCCCCCAAACACGGCCAGTCAGCATTACTGTCCCATACCCCAGCCTGCGGAAGGGGGGCTGCTGCAGGCCCATCCTGGCCTTCGTGGATTGTTGCTGGATGCACAAGCCCCTTCCCACCCACAGCCACACACCCCTGAGCCTCGGCTCACCCGGCAGAGCTCCTGTGGGCCTCATGCCTCTCAACCCAAGCAATGGACTTTTGGAAAGCCCACTGGGGGGACTTTTGGGAAAAGAGCCCCCTCTGCTCCTCAAGGCTTGGAAGCGCCCAAGGGGAAGGAGCAGGATGCGAGGAGTGGGCAGCTCTCTCAGAGAGCCCGGGGGGCTGCGAGGGCAGGGTGCTCCACTGCGGCAGATCTCTTACCGGGGTCCATGGTGTTCGAGGTGCCTCTGTCACCGCCTGGGCTCGTGTCCTCCGCAGACCTCTACGGCTGCCAGTCCTGCAGGGTAGATGAGTGGGCCCCAGCAAGGAGCGAAGCTTGCTTCAACTGCACCGTTGAGTTTCTGTCCTGGTCTGAGCCCATCTCCTGGGCTCTGCTGATCCCCACTGTCCTCCTGATGCTGCTCATGGCAGGGCTGGCCATACTCTTCGCCCTGAACACCTCCACACCGGTGGTCAAGTCTGTGGGCAGGAAGATGTGCTTCCTCATGCTGGCCTCTCTGGCCTGCGCCTGCAGCAGCCTCTTCTGCTACTCTGGGGAGTCCACCCGGCACACATGCCTGCTGCAGCTCCCTCTCTGCCATCGGCTTCACCGTCTTCCTCTCATGCATGGCGACACGCTCCTTCCAGATCATCTGCATCTTCAAGCCGGACGCATGCTGGCCGGCCCTCTACGAGGCCTGGCGGCGGGGCCGGGGACCGCCCCCC